AAAGGGTGTATCTCAATAGTCTTGACTGGACCCTAGTCTAGGACCCACAGATAAAGGGTGTATCTCAATAGTCTTGACTGGAGGAGGAGACGATACCTCATAGATTGTTCAGCATCATCTCTCATGGCGACCGCATTCCATGGGTCCACGTCGCATGTCCCTAAGTCGCCACGGTTACCGAGCCAGGAGGCTTTATGACAAGAAACTGTCCTTGAGTCAGTTTTTACAATACCACCTTTACTCCACACACACACAGACAAACACACACACACACACACACACACACACACACACACACACACACACACAAACACACACAGACAAACACACACACACACACACACACACACACAGACAAACACACCTAGTGCCAGACAGTCTGGGATATGTGCGTCTACATTGTGATTATTATCTGGCTTGGTTATTATAATGGTTCTGATTGAATCGTTATTGCATCATTGGTGTGTGTTCTATAATGTATTTTACTGCATGCTTACGTAATCACCATCATGTAGTCCATCTGATCATGTGCAGCAGCTCTAAAACAATCCAGCCATAGACATTATTACATTGTAGACTACATAGTAGCATTCAGCTGGCTAAAGATTACACAAGACAATGGCAGAGAGAGAGAGAGAGAGTGTGTGTGTGTGTGTGTCGGTGGGTCACATGCAGAGCAGAGGAGGTGGTGGGAGGATTGAGGGGGATTAAACACATACACACATACACATACACATGCTTAAGGAGCAGGGGAAGGGGGGGGGGGGGCAGTTGTGTCTTTGGCTCCCCAGTGAGGTGACCTTTTGTTCAGCTGAACCGAAGTTCCCTTAGGACACAGACACACACACACTTGCACACACGCATGCACGCACACACACACACACACACACACACACACACACACACACACACACACACACACTGGGGTCATTACTGATTAATAAGTAGCAACATCCCCACTAGATATGATAAAAGGTCAGACTGATCATATACTCCCTATGTCCTGCTACTCTACTGTCTCCACTGTGGTGTGTGTGTGTGTGTGTGTGTGTGTGTGTGTGTGTGTGTGCCCAAGTGTGAGTGTGTGTGTGCGTCAAAGTGTGTGTGTGTGTGTATTGTGTACGCATAGCGATACATTAAATCTGTGGTGATGGTGATAGGTTTGACATGCCCGCCATGTAGCCTCCTACCCTGAGAGGAAGGCAGAGCAGGAGACCCTGGAGGATGAACAACACCAACAGGCAGACAGCAGCTACAGCAGAGTTATATAGACTTTACCCAGACAGAGATATGGCTCTAGTCTGGACTACAGCAGAGTTATATAGACTTTACCCAGACAGAGATATGGCTCTAGTCTGGACTACAGCAGAGTTATATAGACTTTACCCAGACAGAGATATGGCTCTAGTCTGGACTACAGCAGAGTTATATAGACTTTACCTAGACAGAGATATGGCTCTAGTCTGGACTACAGCAGAGTTATATAGACTTTACCTAGACAGAGATATGGCTCTAGTCTGGACTACAGTAGAGTTATATAGACTTTACCTAGACAGAGATATGGCTCTAGTCTGGACTACAGCAGAGTTATATAGACTTTACCTAGACAGAGATATGGCTCTAGTCTGGACTACAGTAGAGTTATATAGACTTTACCTAGACAGAGATATGGCTCTAGTCTGGACTACAGTAGAGTTATATAGACTTTACCTAGACAGAGATATGGCTCTAGTCTGGACTACAGTAGAGTTATATAGACTTTACCTAGACAGAGATATTGCTCTAGTCTGGACTACAGCAGAGTTATATAGAGTTTACCTAGACAGAGATATGGCTCTAGTCTGGACTAAAGCAGAGTTATATAGACTTTACCCAGACAGAGATATGGCTCTAGTCTGGACTACAGCAGAGTTATATAGACTTTACCTAGACAGAGATATGGCTCTAGTCTGGACTACAGTAGAGTTATATATACTTTACCCAGACAGAGATATGGCTCTAGTCTGGACTACAGTAGAGTTATATAGACTTTACCCAGACAGAGATATGACTCTAGTCTGGACTACAGAAGTTGGAGTCTGTCGGTCTCTCTCCGCTGTTCTCTCCCTTCCCCAATACGAAATTCCAATCCCAATTCTCTCTCCCTATCGATCTCCTTCCCCAATAGTTAAGCTACCTGCTTGACCGCCCTCTCTCTCTGTCTCTCTCTACCCCCTCTCTCTCCCTCCCTCCTCTCTCCCCCCTTCTCTCTCCTCCCTCCCCAATAGAGACACCTGTTTGAACCCCCCTCTCTCTATCTCTCTCTCTCTCTCAATTCAATTCAATGTAAGGGCTTTATTGGCATGGGAAACATATGTTAACATTGCCAAAGCAAGTGAAGTAGATAGTAAACAAAAGTGAAATAAACTCTCTTTCTCTCTCCAGGGCGGTATGGAGAGAGGACCTAGCAGCAGCCAGGTGTGGAACCCCTCCTCTGTTACCTGTATGGACAGAGCAGCGCCCCCCCTGCTGGCCTGGTGGTCCACCTGCAGGTCTGGGAATGGGATGAACAGCAGCCACTGGAGAGGAGTGGCAGATCATACAGGATACTTGGGTGTAGCTGTTTCAAGGTGAGAATGATTGACATTTTTGCTATAATAGGAATTTGTCAAACATAGACCTATTTGAATACATATAACTAGAATTCTATGATATTTATATATTTTGAATACATAGGCTATAGTTAACTAGAATTATATTCTATTTATATGTTTGAATACATAGTCTATGGTTGATTGCACTGGAATAGTAACTATGAGTATAATGACTTGGTTTTACTATTGAGTCTCCCTCCTTCCTCTCCCTCCTCTCTCTCCCTCCTCTCCCTCCCTTCTCTCCACAGGTCGATGCCTGATTTACTGACTACAGGCGCGTGACTGACAGCTCGGCTGTCGGCAGCATGCTCTCGCGCTGTCCTGCTGTCAGTCACTCTGGAGATGGGTTCTGCGCGAGGCGACCAGAGCAGCAACAGCAGGAAGGTAGATAGATACAGATTTCTTCGTTTATATAATGTCTGTGTTTTGGGCTGTTGTTTCTGGTTTTCTTTTGTCTATTTAATTTTAGGGATTCTCTTTATTTTATTTTTTTGAATCGAAGACAATAGGCTAATTTTGCTTTAGGTTAGTCTACCTGGCTGTTTTTTTACTGAGCGCATGCTGTCATTTAGGATTTTTTTCTTATTTTTTTTTGTAGCGGACGTTGGACCCTATGATCGTTCAAAGCTGCACGTTAGGCTACATCATTCTATTATTTTGCCATTCTGTTCACATTGCAAGAAAAGTATTGATTCTGATTCTGCTTATTGATCAGTCGTTTGTAATTGCTTGGTTATTTTCTTGCCATTCTATCTCATATGTAATGCAACGGGTGTCATCAATGTCGCTCTGGATAAGAGCGTCTGCTAAATGACGTAAATGTGAATGTAATGTATTCATTGTGTAGCCAAATTGATAATTTCTTAAAAGTACCTCATAGCCCTTTCCTGTACGAGGACAGACACGTTATTTTTCATGATTGAGATATAATTTGTCTTCTTAATCTTTCCTGAATAAACCAACAGTTTAACCAATATTCTGTACCATTACCCATCATGTTTTTCTTAATTGAGTCAATTCAATACCTACATAATATTTGGTTTCTTATTGTTTTTTTATTGGCAATGTTCTGAACATTCGCTCCACGGGACATTCCAACGTTCTCCTCGTTCCGGGTGTAGTGTGTCGTTCAGAACGGACGAGGCGCTGTTAAACATACACTCTGTACTAGCACACACCGACCGTCACATACTCACACACGCATTCTCTCTCTGCTTGGAGTGTATTGGAGACCACCATGGCCATTGGGGAGTTGAGAGGGCAAGACAGAAGGGTTGTTTTCTTTAACAATTGAATACTGCCAAGTTATGCCGCGTTTCACACACTACTGTTCTCGCCACTATCCCCGATGCGGTGGAAAAACGGGGTGCGGGCTTTCAGATACGGTAGGTTGTATACTTTAAGCCACTAAATACGGGATGTTTTGGGGTTTAGGTAGCTAGCTAGCGCTTAGGCAAGCGGCGGGGTGAAACGTGCCTTCGCTTTCTTCTTGTGTGTTTGATCCTTGATCGAATGATTGGAACCGTTGCGCGTTGATCGATCTAACGGCTCTGGAATGTTCGTATCCCGTTCGAGAACGCTCAACTGTGTTCGCCGTCCGAGTTAGTTAGCAATCTGGCTAATGTTTACTATGTGAAGTTAGTGTAGCGGGCTACCTCAAGTGGTTTGGCGGAGGAAAGAGAAGGCAGCAGGCCCGTCTTGTGTGGTTGTGGAGTTTGTTGCCTGTTACCCCTCCCCCACCGTCTTTGCAAGAGGCCAAGATGAATGGGATCCCACTTCAAAGCAATGAGAGGGAGAGGCTAGCTACCTAGCCGGAGTAGAGGGAGCGAGAGGGTAGAACTTACGTTGGCTAGTTAGTGTAGCCATCTTTGAAATGCATTGTTTAGTTGCTACCTACATAGCTAGCTACAGTACACATGTCATGAAGTAAAATGTAATGAAGTGCAAACTCATTGTTATTGTTGACCTGATGCTAGCTAACTAACAGTTATAGAGCTAATATAGAGCTAAGTAGCTAGCTATGTTTTGTTAACCAGGCAGCTAGCTAGCTAACGTTACCGGTGATGTTATTGTAACAAAGCTAACTAGCTATTAGCTAACGTTAGTTAGCCACCGTTACCTTCTTTAACCATAACTTCTGTTTTATTAGCTATTACGGCACTACCTAGCTAGCTGGCTAACAACTAATGCTAACCAATGGTTTATAATGACCTTATTTGTTAACTAGTCTGTGTTGATCATTGCTGTTAGCCTTCATGGTGAAAGTTGAAATCACCATGGCTATGCTAGCTAGTGCCAGGTATAACCTCTGTGATTAGTTAGCTAGTTATTTGTTGTTAGCTCTTCAAAACACGTTCGTTGTGATGGATGTTCTTCAGAGTGTCTGTAGAAGAACACCAGTGGTTCCATGTTACAGCCTATCATCAGCTCATCTTGAATCACGTGAGCACCGCTGGACATCGCTCTCTCGTTCCCCGTTCTCCTCTTTTATCCTCTTCTCTTTCTCTCACTCAGAGATAATCAGTCATCTTTCAGTTTCACCTCTCCCGTTCTCTCTCTACTCTATCCCCCTCTTTTCTCCCAGGGTCTATCTGGGATCAGTATGTGTGGGTCTAACCACGCCAACCTTAGCTCATTTCTTCACCCTATAGTTCAGCTCTCACCCTCCTCTCCTTTCTGTCAGGGGGGATCATTCCTCTCTTTCACTCATGACCCTCCTCTCTCCTCTTCTATCACAGGGAGAATCGCTCATCTTCAGCTGTTCTAGAGGTGTGGCTGTGACCGGTGCCCAACCCAGTGGTCCCCAACCAGAGACATGAGTGTGGTCCGTGACCCACAGGGGGCGTACAGGGGGGTGGGAGACCCACAAGGGGGGTACAGGGGGGTGGGGGGGGGCGACCATCTGGGGGGTCTAGGGGTGGGGATGGACCCCCACAGCCACTTCACAGAGCACGCCCCTCGGCCCCCCGTGCCTGGAGAAGAGGGGGGTGACCGTGACCCCCACCGCCTCCCCTCCAGCCATGGAGGCCGCCCCCCCACCCAGTCCACCTACTACCCCCCCTCCAAAACAGACCCCTCCTTCCGTAGTAGTGAGCCCCCATCCTCGGCCACCCCCACTCCCAGGCGGCCGGACCTGGACCTAGGGTACGAGCCTGAGGGCAGCGCCTCCCCCACGCCTCCCTACCTGAAGTGGGCCGAGTCGCTCCACTCTCTCCTGGATGACCAGGAGGGCATCCAGCTGTTCAAGGGCTTCCTGAGACAGGAGGGCTGTGGGGACCAGCTTGACTTCTGGTTCGCCTGCTCCGGCTTCAGGAAGAGCAGCCAGGAGAAGAGGCCCAAGCTGGCCAAGGCCATTTACAGGTAGGGATGAGTTCTCTCTCTCTTTTCTTTCTCATCTCTCTATTCTCTCCATCTTTCTCTCTCATTATCTCTCTCTCTCCCTGTCTTTCCAGGAAGTATATCCAGGATAGTAACGGGATCGTGTCGAGGCAGATTAAACCAGCTACCAAGAGCTTCATCAGAGACTGTGTGGTTAGACTGCATCTGGACCCTGCCATGTTCGAGCAGGTATCAATACATCAATCAATCATTACGCCACGTTGGAACAAGTATCAATACATCAATACATCAATCAATCATTACGCCATGTTGGAACAAGTATCAATTAATCAATACATCAATCATTACGCCATGTTGGAACAGGTATCTGTTGTTTTATTAATGACCTTTCATTGACCAGGTAGATTGTTGAGAAGACATTCTTAATATCCTCCTCTCAGTGGCAGGAGACACAGGAATCTGGAAAAAAATTAATTGAGCTTCATCGCAAACATATTTTCAAGAACAGTTGTGGACAAGGGGTGGATGTGTTGATAGCTAAGCCATAACCAACAACTGTGTTTGCTGCTGGTGAAGAACCCAGCTTCCCTCTCTGGGATCGATACAGTTGTTGACTTGTTTAAATCTCACTTTTCGTTTTCTTTGTTTCTAGCCTAAATGAACGCTAATGTTTTTGGAACTTTGTACCGAACCCATGTTGTCTCTCTCCCAAGGCCCAGACAGAGATCCAGAGCACCATGGAGGAGAACACCTACCCTCTGTTCCTCAAGTCAGACCTGTACCTGGAGTACACCCAGACAGGGGAGGAGAGCCCCAAACCACCCAGCGACCACAGCTCCTCATCGGGTACTGGTCCTGGGCCACCGGGGCCTGGCTACCTGCCCACCCTCACGGAGGACGTAGAGTGGAGGTGTGTGTCTAGATAATGTGGACATTCCTCTGTCTGTATTCTGTCTGTATATTGGGTTTATTGTTGTCAGCACCATCTCACCAGGTCTAATGCCTGGTCCATGTAAATGTACTTGGTGAATAAAGGTGGGTTGTGATTCAGGTGCCGGGAGGAGGGAGAGGAGGAGGAGGAGGAAGAGGAGGGCGTGGATACGCAGGCCAGCAGGCTGACTCAGAGGTTGCTAATGGAGACTGCTCCTCACAGAGTGTCGACCAATCGGAGGGCAGGGGATAGCAGAGAGTACAGGTAGGAGACCAGAGAGAGTGTTTATGTGTCTGTGTGAAATTCATGACAGTGTTTAGTATTTGTCAGACTGGTTGCTATGTAGTTGTCCCTGTAGAGAATCTGTGTGTCTGTGTGAAATTGATGACAGTGTTTAGTATTTGTCCGAGTGGTTGCTATGTAGTTGTCCCTGTAGAGAATCTGTGTGTTTGTGTGTCTGTGTGAAATTGATGACAGTGTTTAGTATTTGTCCGAGTGGTTGCTATGTAGTTGTCCCTGTAGAGAATCTATGTGTCTGTGTGAAATTGATGACAGTGTTTAGTATTTGTCAGAGTGGTTGCTATGTAGTTGTCCCTGTAGAGAATCTGTGTGTCTGTGTGAAATTGATGACAGTGTTTAGTATTTGTCCGAGTGGTTGCTATGTAGTTGTCCCTGTAGAGAATCTGTGTGTCTGTGTGAAATTGATGACAGTGTTTAGTATTTGTCCGAGTGGTTGCTATGTAGTTGTCCCTGTAGAGAATCTGTGTGTCTGTGTGAAATTCATGACAGTGTTTAGTATTTGTCAGAGTGGTTGCTATGTAGTTGTCCCTGTAGAGAATCTGTGTGTTTGTGTGAAATTGATGACAGTGTTTAGTATTTGTCCGAGTGGTTGCTATGTAGTTGTCCCTGTAGAGAATCTGTGTGTTTGTGCGCGTCCCGGGCCGGGATGATACCAGTACCGCCGTGGCAAGGAAACAAAACACAAAGCGGAGGTCCCTTCTTTAGGAGAACAGCCCTGATGTTGGAAACCAACAGCATCATGCTGTCATCCAGAGCCACATTGATTTATTTTCCAAGATATAGCCACAATCATTTACATACAGAGTTTGATCTGCTTCTTGTTTTCATTTATATATTCAAAATATATATATATATATATATATTTCATTTATATATATCATTTATATATTCAAAATATATATATTTCATTTATAAATAGTATTTATATATTCCAAATATTGCGATACCGGTATCATCATAGCCCTGGTCTTGTATGTGTATGTGTATATATATATATATATATATATATATATATATATATATATATATATATATATATATATATATATATATATATAAATGTGTGTGTACAGTGTATTCAGACCCCTTCACCTTTTCCACATTTTGTTACGTTACAGCCTTATTCTAAAATTGATTAAATTATCCCCCCCCCCTCATCAATCTACACACAACACCCCATAATGACAGAGCAAAACCAGGTTTTTAGACATTTGTGCCAATGTATTAGTCATAGCCACCGAACTGCTAGTATCATTATACATCATCCTTATCACTTTACAGAAATTCTCCCCGAACCCAAAAGTAGAGATCTAAATAAATAGTTGTGCTCTAAAGTGTCAAAAGCCTTAAAACATTTTTACTAAACGATATAAAGCCAAGTTCTTCTATGAACTCTCTGTAATCCAAAATATATAATACCAATTGTATATGGTTATGGATACTCCTTCCTTTAATGAAGGCTGATTGGAGTTATACTGATTATATCATCATAATAATAATAATAATAATATGCCATTTAGCAGACGCTTTTATCCAAAGCGACTTAAAGTCATGTGCGCATACATTTTTACGTATGGGTGGTCCCGGGGATCGAACCCACTACCCTGGCGTTACAAGCGCCATGCTCTACCAATTGAGCTCCAGAGGACCACATCAAGGCCTTTTTTCAGCCTAATAGCATAGACATGGGCTAGTAACTTTTATAGTCCGTTGCCAACCACGTGATTGGTCTCCAATTGTCCAAGTAAAGAGTCCTTCTTTTGATTTAGGTATAATAACTATTAGTCCCTGTCTCAAAGGAGGTGGTAAGATGGCATTAGCAATACCCTCTTTGTAGACCGAAAGCAATAACTCTCTAATGTCAGGTCTAAAATGGCAATAGAATTCAGGAGTCAGGCCATCCGGTCCAGGAGATTTAACTATAGCCATTTGTTTAATGGCTTGGTCCAACTCAGTAATATCTATATCAGAATCACAGAGTTTCTTAAACCTTTCTTCTATAGGCTTAACAGAGTTATTAACTGAATCAAGAAAGGAATCCAATTCGCCGTCCGATAGATGAGACTGATGCAGTGTATCGTAGAAAGAGTGTATTTCCTTATTAAATCACTTCAAGTTCATCAGCTATGTCATTAACATAAATGGATGAAATACTATTCCTTGTCTGCCTATGAGATGTAATTTGGCCTTTGAGCAGATGAAGGCACCCTGTGCCTTATCGTTGTATTCAGTGCCTTCGGAAAGTATTCAGACCCCTTCACCTTTTCCTCATTTTGTTAGGTTACAGCCTGATTCTAAAGTTGATTAAATATTTTTTTTCCTCATCAATCTACACACAATACCCCATAAACAGGTTTTTAGACATTTGTGCTTATTTATAAAAAATGGAAATATCACATTTACATAAGTATTCAGACCATTTACTCAGTACTTTGTTGAAGCATCGTTGGCAGCGATTACAGCCTCGAGTCTTCTTTGCCATGATGCTACAAGCTTGGCACACCTGTATTTGGGGAGTTTCTCCCATTCTTCCCTGCAGATTCTCTCATGCTCTGTCAGGTTGGATGGGGAGCGTTGCTGCACAGTTATTTTCAGGTCTCTCCAGAGATGTTCGATCGGGAACAAGTCCTGGCTCTGGCCGGGCCACTCAAGGACATTCAGAGACTTACATTTTACATTTACATTTTAGTCATTTAGCAGACGCTCTTATCCAGAGCGACTTACAGGAGCAATTAGGGTTAAGTGCCTTGCTCAAGGGCACATCGACAGATATTTAACCTAGTCGGCTCGGGGATTAGAACCAGCGACCTTTCGGTTACTGGCATAACGCTCTTAACCACTAAGCTACCTGCCGACTTGTCCCGAAGCCACTCCTGCGTTGTCTTGGCTGTGTGCTTAGGGTCGTTGTCCTGTTGGAAGGTGAACCTTCGCCCCAGTCTGAGGTCCTGAGTGCTCTGGAGCAGGTGTTCATCAAGGATCTCTCTGTACTTTGCTCCGTTCATCTTTGCCTCGATCCTGACTAGTCTCCCAGTTCCCGCCGCTGAAAAACATCCCCACAGCATGATGCTGCCACCATCATGCTTCACCGTAGGGATGGTGCCAGGTTTCCTCCAGACGTGACGCTTGGCATTCAGGCCAAAGAGTTCAATCTTGGTTTCATCAGACCAGAGAATGTTATTTCTCATGGTCTGAGAGTCCTTTAGGTGGCTTTTGGCAAACTCAAAGCGGGCTGTCATGTGCCATTACTGAGGAGTGGCTTCCGTCTGGCCACTCTACCATAAAGGCATGATTGGTGGAGTGCTGCAGAGATGGTTGTTCTCCCATCTCCACAGAGGAACTCTGGAGCTCTGTCAAACTGACCATCGGGTTCTTGGTCACCTCCCTGAACAAGGCCCTTCTCCCCAGATTGCTCAGTTTGGCCGGGCGGCCAGCTCTAGGAAGAGTCTTGGTGGTTCCAAACTTCTTCCATTTTAGAATGATCAAGGCCGCTGTGTTCTTGGGGACCTTCAATGCTGCATAAATGTTTTGGAACCCTTCCCCAGATCGGTGCCTCGACACAATCCTGTCTCTGAGCTCCACGGACAATTCCTTCGACCTCATGGCTTGGTTTTTGCTCTGACAAGCACCGTCAACTGTGGGGCCTTATGTCCAATCAACTTAATTAGCAAAAATTTATAAAAACCAGTTTTTGCTTTGTCATTATGGGGTATTGTGTGTAGATTGATGAGATTTTATTTTTTCTGTCCATTTTAGAATAAGGCTGTAACATAACAAAATGTGGGAAAAGTCAAGGGGGTCTGAATACTTTTGGAATGCACTGTACATGTATGTGTATATATGCGTGTGTGTGTGTGTGTGTGTGTAACCATCTCTCCTCTCAGACAGTGCAGAGAGCCGGTAGTTAACCCCTACTACGTAAACATGGGTTACGCCCGCGCCCCTGCCACCAGCGCTAACGACAGTGAACAGCAGAGCATGTCCAGCGCCTCCGACGTTGACACACTCTCACTGACCGACAGCAGTGTGTGAGTACACACGCTGAAACACACATGCATGCATACACACACACACACACACACACACTGACATACACACACACACCAACATATCCTATCTGTCTCACACACACACATACACACACACACACACCAACATATCCTCTCTGTCTCACACACTGACACACACACAGCCATGGACTTTTTGCACCAACACAGCGAAACACGTTCTTCTGATAACTAACTAGTGTGTGTTGCAGGGATGCTATTCCGCCATACCGGTATCGTAAACAGCATCGTAGAGAGATGCATGACAGTGCCAAAGCCAACGGACGTGTGCCCCTACCTCATATACCTGTAAGGACACACACTGTCGTCTCTACCTTCTTGCCCTCTGGGCTGTTGTCTGTGCCCAGTAATGTTTGTAACATGTTTTGTGCTGCTACAGTGTTGTGCTGCTGCCATGTTGTGTTGCTACCATGTCAAATCAAATCAAATTGTATTTTGTCACATACACGTGTTTAGCAGATGTTATAGCGGGTGTAGCGAAATGCTTGTGCTTCTAGCTCTGACAGTGCAGTAATATCTAACAATTTCACAACATATACCCAATACACACAAAACTAGTAGGGAATAGGATTGAAGAATATATACATATATGGACAAGCAATGACAGAGCGGCATGGACTAAGATACAGTAGAATATTATAGAATGCAGTATATACATATGAGATGAGTAGTGCAAGATATGTAAACATTATTAATGTGACTAGTGTTCAATTTCTTAAAGTGGCCAGTGATTTCAATAGGCAGCAGCAGCCTCTAATGTGCTAGTGATGGCTATTTAACAGTCTGATGGCCTTGAGATAGAAGCTGTTTTTCATTCTCTCGGTCCCAGCTTTGATGCACCTGTACTGACCTCACCTTCTGGATGATAGCGGGGTGAACAGGCAGTGGCTCGGGTGGTTGATGTCCTTGATGATCTTTTTGGCCTTCCTGTGACATCGGGTGCTGTATGTGTCTTGGAGGGCGGGTAGTTTGCCCCCGGTAATGCGTTCTGCAGACTGCACCACCCTCTGGAGAGCCCTGCGGTTGTGGGCGGTGCAGTTGCCGTACCAGGCAGTGATACAGCTCGACAGGATGCTCTCAATCTGTAAAAGTTTGTGAGGGTTTTAGGTGATAAGCTGAATTTCTTCAGCCTTCTGAGGTTGAAGAGGCTCTGTTGCGCCTTCTTCACCATATTGTCTGCGTGGGTGGACCATTTCAGTTTGTCAGTGATGTGTACGCCAAGGAACTTGAAGCTTTCCACCTTCTCCCCTGCGGTCCCGTTGATGTGGATAGGGGGGTGCACCCTCTGCTGTTTCCTGAAGTCCACGAACATCTCCTTTGTTTTGTTGATGTTGAGTGAGAGGTTATTTTCCTGGCACCACACTCCCAGAGCCCTCACCTCCTCCCTGTAGGCGGTCTCGTCATTGTTGGTAATCCAGCCTACTACTGTTGTGTAGTCTGCAAACTTGATGATTGAGTTGGAGGCGTGCATGACTACGCAGTCATGGGTGAACAGGGAGTACAGGAGGGGGCTGAGCATGCACCCTTGTGGGGCCCCAGTGTTGAGGATCAGCGAAGTGGAGATGTTGTTTCGTACATGTTGTTGCGAAGTGGAGATGTTGTTGTCATGTGGTGTTGCTACCTTGCTGTGTTGTCTTAGGTCTCTCTTTATGTAGTGTTGTGGCGTCTCTCTTGTCGTGATGTGTGTTTTGTCCTATATTTGTATTACTTTTGGTAGGCCGTCATTGTAAATAATAATTTGTTCTTAACTGACTTGCCTAGTTAAATAAATACAAAATACCCTACCTCATATACCTGTAAGAATACACTATCAAAATACTTAATTATGAACTAAATATTTGACATACAACATACTTTCACTGTTCTAGTAGAATGAACGTGTCCTCTGTCCGGTACCGGCTGTGGTAATAACGGGAATGTGTCCTCTATCCGGTACCGGCTGTGGTAATAACGGGAACGTGTCCTCTATCCGGTGCCGGCTGTGGTAATAACGGGAACGTGTCCTCTATCCGTGCCGCTGGAAAACGGGACGTGTCCTCTATCCGTTGCCGGCTGTGTAATAACGGGAACGTGTCCTCTATCCGGTACCGGCTGTGGTAATAACGTGAATGATGTGTCCTCTGTCCGTGCCGGCTGTGGTAATAACGGAATGTGTCCTCTGTCCGTGCCGGCTGTGGTAATAACGTAGAATGAATGTGTCCTCTGTCCGGTGCCGGCTGTGGTAATAACGATGAAGAAGTGTCCTCTGTCCGGTGCCGGCTGTGGTAATAACGATAGAATATGTGTCCTCTGTCCGGTGCCGGCTGTGGTAATAACGATAGATGAATGTGTCCTCTATCCGGTACCGGCTGTGGTAATAACGGGAACGTGTCCTCTATCCGGTGCCGGCTGTGGTAATAACGATAGAATGAATGTGTCCTCTGTCCGGTGCCGGCTGTGGTAATAACGATAGAATGAATGTGTCCTCTGTCCGGTGCCGGCTGTGGTAATAACGATAGAATGAATGTGTCCTCTGTCCGGTGCCGGCTTTGGTAATAACGGGAATGTGTCCTCTGTCCGGTGCCGGCTGTGGTAATAACGGTTGAATGAATGTGTCCTCTGTCCGGTGCCGGCTGTGGTAATAACGGTAGAATGAATGTGTCCTCTGTCCGGTGCCGGCTGTGGTAATCATTTATATAGATAATATCTGATATATCTTCTGTGTGTATAGCGCACGTACCGCATGCCGAAGGACATCCACGTCGAGCCGGAGAGGTTTGCTGCTGACCTCATCAGTCGACTGGAGGGAGTTCTGAGAGAGAGAGATGCACAGGAGAGACTGGAGGAGAGACTGAAGAGAGTCAGACTGGTACGTACTGGGGGGTGTGTGTGTGTGTGTGTGTGTGTGTGTGTGTGTGTGTGTGTGTGTGTGTGACGTGTCTGTGACGTGTGCGTGCTTTCATGTGTGTGTTGGACAGTAATCACCCCACACACACACACACTTCCTGCTTCTCCTCTAACCCTGCCCCCTTCTTTCCTCTCCTGCTCTGTGATAGGAGGAGGAGGGCGACGACGCCGACGTCTCCATGGTGAACTCCCTCCCCTCCTACGGCAACAAGCCCCTCCCCCCCTCTACCCCGTCCCTCCACCCCCACTACGGGTCCCGTTATTCAGAGACCTCGTACAATGGCGTTCTGGCGCTACAGGACGCGCACGAGGAGAACCCGGAGTCCATCTTGGACGAGCACGTCCAGAGAGTGATGAAGACGCCGGGGTGCCAGTCACCAGGCACCGGGAGACACTCACCCAAGACCCGCTCCCCCGACGGAGGGGTAGGGGTGTACCCTCCGCCCCACTCTGGGAGAACCCAGGGGCCTCCGGGGACCAAAGGTCACAAGCCAGGAGCCAAGGGAGGTGACCCGGCGGGGATGGGAGCAGGTATGTTGTCTTTATTTATCTAGGTTAGTCTCCATGATAAACCTCTTCTAGTGTTGTCTTTATTTATCCAGGTTAGTCTCCATGATAAACCTCTTCTAGTGTTGTCTTTATTTATCCAGGTTAGTCTCCATGATAAACCTCTTCTAGTGTTGTCTTTATTTATCCAGGTTAGTCTCCATGATAAACCTCTTCTAGTGTTGTCTTTATTTATCCAGGTTAGTCTCCATGATAAACCTCTTCTAGTGTTGTCTTTATTTATCCAGGTTAGTCTCCATGATAAACCTCTTCTAGTGTTGTCTTTATTTATCCAGGTTAGTCTCCATGATAAACCTCTTCTAGTGTTGTCTTTATTTATCCAGGTTAGTCTCAATAATAAACCTCTTCTAGTGTTGTCTTTATTTATCCAGGTTAGTCTCAATGATAAACCTCTTCTAGTGTTGTCTTTATTTATCCAGGTTAGTCTCCATGATAAACCTCTTCTAGTGTTGTCTTTATTTATCCAGGTTAGTCTCCATGATAAACCTCTTCTGGTGTTGTCTCTATTTATCCAGGTTAGTCTCCATGATAAACCTCTTCTAGTGTTGTCTTTATTTATCCAGGTTAGTCTCCATGATAAACCTCTTCTAGTGTTGTCTTTATTTATCCAGGTTAGTCTCCATGATAAACCTCTTCTAGTGTTGTCTTTATTTATCCAGGTTAGTCTCCATGATAAACCTCTTCTAGTGTTGTCTTTATTTATCCAGGTTAGTCTCCATGATAAACCTCTTCTAGTGTTGTCTTTATTTATCCAGGTTAGTCTCCATGATAAACCTCTTCTAGTGTTGTCTTTATTTATCCAGGTTAGTCTCCATGATAAACCTCTTCTAGTGTTGTCTTTATTTATCCAGGTTAGTCTCCATGATAAACCTCTTCTAGTGTTGTCTCTATTTATCCAGGTTAGTCTCAATGATAAACCCTCTTCTAGTGTTGACTTTATTTATCCAGGTTAGTCTCCATGATAAACCTCTTCTAGTGTTGTCTTTATTTATCCAGGTTAGTCTCCATGATAAACCTCTTCTAGTGTTGTCTTTATTTATCCAGGTTAGTCTCCATGATAAACCTCTTCTAGTGTTGTCTTTATTTATCCAGGTTAGTCTCCATGATAAACCTCTTCTAGTGTTGTCTTTATTTATCCAGGTTAGTCTCCATGATAAACCTCTTCTAGTGTTGTCTTTATTTATCCAGGTTAGTCTCCATGATAAACCTCTTCTAGTGTTGTCTTTATTTATCCAGGTTAGTCTCCATGATAAACCTCTTCTAGTGTTGTCTTTATTTATCCAGGTTAGTCTCCATGATAAACCTCTTCTAGTGTTGTCTTTATTTATCCAGGTTAGTCTCCATGATAAACCTCTTCTAGTGTTGTCTTTATTTATCCAGGTTAGTCTCCATGATAAACCTCTTCTAGTGTTGTCTTTATTTATCCAGGTTAGTCTCCATGATAACCTCTTCTAGTGTTGTCTTTATTTATCCAGGTTAGTCTCCATGATAAACCTCTTCTAGTGTTGTCTCTATTTATCCAGGTTAGTCTCAATGATAAACCTCTACTAGTGTTGTCTTTATTTATCCAGGTTAGTCTCCATGATAGACCTCTTCTAGTGTTGACTTTATTTATCCAGGTTAGTCTCCATGATAAACCTCTTCTAGTGTTGTCTTTATTTATCCAGGTTAGTCTCCATGATAAACCTCTTCTAGTGTTGTCTTTATTTATCCAGGTTAGTCTCCATGATAAACCTCTTCTAGTGTTGTCTCTATTTATCCAGGTTAGTCTCAATGATAAACCTCTTCTAGTGTTGACTTTATTTATCCAGGTTAGTCTCCATGATAAACCTCTTCTAGTGTTGTCTTTATTTATCCAGGTTAGTCTCCATGATAAACCCCTTCTAGTGTTGTCTTTATTTATCCAGGTTAGTCTCCATGATAAACCTCTTCTAGTGTTGTCTTTATTTATCCAGGTTAGTCTCCATGATAAACCTCTTCTAGTGTTGTCTTTATTTATCCAGGTTAGTCTCCATGATAAACCTCTTCTAGTGTTGTCTTTATTTATCCAGGTTAGTCTCCATGATAAACCTCTTCTAGTGTTGTCTTTATTTATCCAGGTTAGTCTCCATGATAAACCTCTTCTAGTGTTGTCTTTATTTATCCAGGTTAGTCTCCATGATAAACCTCTTCTAGTGTTGTCTTTATTTATCCAGGTTAGTCTCCATGATAAACCTCTTCTAGTGTTGTCTTTATTTATCCAGGTTAGTCTCCATGATAAACCTCTTCTAGTGTTGTCTTTATTTATCCAGGTTAGTCTCCATGATAAACCTCTTCTAGTGTTGTCTTTATTTATCCAGGTTAGTCTCCATGATAAACCTCTTCTAGTGTTGTCTCTATTTATCCAGGTTAGTCTCAATGATAAACCTCTACTAGTGTTGTCTTTATTTATCCAGGTTAGTCTCCATGATAGACCTCTTCTAGTGTTGACTTTATTTATCCAGGTTAGTCTCCATGATAAACCTCTTCTAGTGTTGTCTTTATTTATCCAGGTTAGTCTCCATGATAAACCTCTTCTAGTGTTGTCTTTATTTATCCAGGTTAGTCTCCATGATAAACCTCTTCTAGTGTTGTCTTTATTTATCCAGGTTAGTCTCCATGATAAACCTCTTCTAGTGTTGTCTTTATTTATCCAGGTTAGTCTCCATGATAAACCTCTTCTAGTGTTGTCTTTATTTATCCAGGTTAGTCTCCATGATAAACCTCTTCTAGTGTTGTCTTTATTTATCCAGGTTAGTCTCCATGATAAACCTCTTCTAGTGTTGTCTTTATTTATCCAGGTTAGTCTCCATGATAAACCTCTTCTAGTGTTGTCTTTATTTATCCAGGTTAGTCTCCATGATAAACCTCTTCTAGTGTTGTCTTTATTTATCCAGGTTAGTCTCCATGATAAACCTCTTCTAGTGTTGTCTTTATTTATCCAGGTTAGTCTCCATGATAAACCTCTTCTAGTGTTGTCTTTATTTATCCAGGTTAGTCTCCATGATAAACCTCTTCTAGTGTTGACTTTATTTATCCAGGTTAGTCTCAATGATAAACCTCTTCTAGTGTTGATGTTGTATAATCAATGTGATGGTGTGTATTCAACCAACAGAACACAGAGCATCTCGAGGTAGGAGTGCTCTTCATATAATCATGTTCTTTATGATCCTAGATCAGCGCTCCTACCTCCATGCTTTATGAGTACGGGCCCAGGTATAGAGGTGAAATATCAAAGACCACAGCTACCTCCATGCTTTATGAGTACGGGCCCAGGTATAGAGGTGAAATATCAAAGACCACAGCTACCTCCATGCTTTATGAGTACGGGCCCAGGTATAGAGGTGAAATATCAAAGACCACAGCTACCTCCATGCTTTATGAGTACGGGCCCAGGTATAGAGGTGAAATATCAAAGACCACAGCTACCTCCATGCTTTATGAGTACGGGCCCAGGTATAGAGGCGAAATATCAAAGACCACAGCTACCTCCATGCTTTATGAGTACGGGCCCAGGTATAGAGGCGAAATATCAAAGACCACAGCTACCTCCATGCTTTATGAGTACGGGCCCAGGTATAGAGGCGAAATATCAAAGACCACAGCTACCTCTATGCTTTATGAGTACGGGCCCAGGTATAGAGGCGAAATATCAAAGACCACAGCTACCTCCATGCTTTATGAGTACGGGCCCAGGTATAGAGGTGAAATATCAAAGACCACAGCTACCTCCATGCTTTATGAGTACGGGCCCAGGTATAGAGGTGAAATATCAAAGACCACCGCTACCTCCATGCTTTATGAGTACGGGCCCAGGTATAGAGGTGAAATATCAAAGACCACAGCTACCTCCATGCTTTATGAGTATCTCTTTTTGAAAGTGTCCGTAAAGGCTGTACCATCACAAGCATGGTTACCACCATCTTTGTTAGGTTAGGAGGTAGAGTTATACTTAGTTAGTTATAGTTAGTTATAGTTATAGTTAGTTATAGTTAGTTATAGTTATAGTTAGCTAGTTATATGTCTCTGTTCCCTCAGGTGTGTACCATCACAAGCATGGATACCACCATCTTTGTTAGGTTAGGAGGTAGAGTTATACTTAGTTAGTTATAGTTAGTTAGTTATAGTTAGTTATAGTTATAGTTAGCTAGTTATATGTCTCTGTTCCCTCAGGTGTGTACCACCACAAGCATGGATACCACCACCCCCCAGGGGGCACCAAGCCCAAAGAACCCCAGATGGATGAGGTGGTGCTGGGTGGAGGTGGAGGCTCCAGGACCCAGGGGAGCGTCCTGTGGAACGGGGAGGCCCACCACTACGCTACCGGGAAGGGACGCAACTACGCGGACGGGGCTGGGACCATGGATGCCTTGGGCTATAGGTTAGTACCAGGGGGGGGAGGGGTGCTATCAGGTTAGTACCAGGTGGGGGTAGGGGTGTTATCAGGGTGGAAGTTACCGGGGGGGAGGGGTTTTGTTATCAGGGTTTAGTACCGGGGGGGGAGGGGTGTTATCAGGTTATCCAGGGGGGGGGGGAGGGGTTATCGGTTAGAATACCAGGGGGGAGGGGTGTTACTCACAGGTTAGTACCAGGGGGGAGGGGTGTGTATCAGGTTAGTACCAGGGGGGGAGGGGGTTATCAGGTTAGTACCAGGGGGGGAGGGGGTTGTTACAGGGGGGGGGGTGTTATCAGGTTAGTACCAGGGGGGAGGGGGGTTATAGGTTAGTACCAGGGGGGGGGGTGTATCAGGTTAGTACCAGGGGGGAGGGGGGTTATCAGGTTAGTACGGGGGGAGGGGGGTTGTATCAGGTTAGTACCAGGGGGGAGGGGGGGGTAGGGGGGTTATCAGGTTAGTACCAGGGGGGAGGGGTGTTATCAGGTTAGTACCAGGGGGGAGGGGTGTTATCATGTTAGTACCAAGGAGGGGGAGGGGGGTTATCAGGTTAGTCCAGGGTAGTACCAGGGGCGGGGGGGGGTGAGGGGGGTTATCAGGTTAGTCCAGGGGGAGAGGGGGGTGTTGGGTTATCAGTAGTACCGGGGGGGGGGGGGGAGGGGGGTTATCAGTTAGTACCAGGGGGGAGGGGGTGTTATCAGGTTAGTACCAGGGGGGAGGGGGGTTATCAGGTTAGTACCAAGGGGGAGGGGGGTTATCAGGTTAGTACCAGGGGGGAGGGGGGTTATCAGGTTAGTACCAGGGGGAGGGGGGTTATGTGGTTATCAGGTTAGTACCCGGGGTGAGGGGGCGGTTATGTGTTATCAGGTTTGTACCAGGGGGGAGGGGGGGGTTATCAGGTTAGTACCAGGGGGGGGGGGGGTTATCAGGTTAGTACCAGGGGGGAGGGGTGGTTATCAGGTTAGTACCAGGGGGGAGGGAGGGGGGGGTGTGATCAGGTTAGTACCAGGGGGAGGGGGGGTTGGTTATCAGGTTAGTACCAGGGGGAGGGGGGTTATGTGTATCAGGTTAGTACCAGGGGGGAGGGGGGTTATCAGGTTAGTACCAGGGGGGAGGGGGGTGTATCAGGTTAGTACAGGGGGGAGGGGGGTTATCAGGTTAGTACAGGGGGGGGGGTATCGGGTACCAGGGGGGAGGGGGGTATGTGTTATCAGGTTAGTACCAGGGGGAGGGGGGTTATGTGTTATCAGGTTAGTACCAGGGGGGGGGGGGGTATAGGTTAGTACCAGGGGGGGGTGTGTATCAGGTTAGTACCAGGGGAGGGGGAGGGGGGTTATCAGGTTAGTACCAGGGGGGGGGGGTTAGTGTTATCAGGTTAGTACCAGGGGGGAGGGGGGTGTATCGGTTAGTACCAGGGGGGGGGGTATGTGTTATCAGGTTAGTACCAGGGGGGAGGGGGGTTATCAGGTTAGTACCAGGGGGAGGGGGGTTATGTGTTATCAGGTTAGTACCAGGGGGGAGGGGGGTAGTTATCAGGTTAGTACCAGGGGGAGGGGGGTTATGTGTTATCAGGTTAGTACCAGGGGGGAGGGAGGTGTTATCAGGTTAGTACCAGGGGAGGGGGGAGGTTGGTTATACGGGGGAGGGGGTATGTTATAGGTTAGTACCAGGGGGGAGGGGGGTTATCAGGTTAGTACCAGGGGGGAGGGGTGTTAAGGTTGGGGGGAGGGGTATGTGTTATCAGGTTAGTACCAGGGGGGGGGTATAGGTGTACAGGTTTCGAGGTTTACCAGGGGGAGGGTTAGTGGTATCGGTTAGTACCAGGGAGGGAGGGGGTACAGGTTAGAAGGGGGGAGGGGTTATAGGTTAGTCCAGGGGAGGAGGGGGGGTATCAGGTTAGTACAGGGGAGAGGGTTATCAGGTTAGTACCAGGGAGAGGAGGGGTTATAGGTTAGTACAGGTAGGTACAGGGGGTTACAGGTTATACCAGGGGGGGGTTGGTATACTCGGAGGTTAGCTTGATAGTCAGGTTAGGTACAGTGGTTGGCTTATCAACTACCCGGCGGATCCAGAGCGCGGGTATATGCTTAAGACTCAACAGCTCCAACTAGACTGACTCCATCAGGTTCTGACGCTATTTAGTCTCGACACATAAGTTTACATCCGCCCGTCTGCTCGAGTTTGACTATGCCTTCAGACGGCCTACTATGGTATTGAGGGCCTACAGAAGGACAGCAGAGTGCCCACGACCCAGACGGTACACGACCTGACAGTCCTCACGACGGCCACACCCGTAAACCGAACTCACGACCGAGTAAACCAGCGCACAAGAGATAAACACAAAGAACAGGGTAACACAAGAAGGAAGGCACACACGGTAACAACTGGGGGGGGTGTAGGGGGGAGGGGGGGGGTTAGACGTCAGGGGGTTATCAGGTAGTACGGGGTGGAGGGGGGTTATCAGGCTTAGTACCAGGGGACTCCAGATGGTAGGTAGCCGTAAGTGATTATAGCTCTGTACATTAATACCACGGGGATAGGTTATTGGTTAGTACACAAATGTGGAACGGAAGCTGCTTTTAGTACATATCATTTGAAGGTATGGAGGCTTCTTGCACTCAAGGGACTTGGGACCAGACTTGGTGTTAGTGACTGAGACATCTGTCTTACCATCCTGACCGGTTTTCATGACCGTGTCTCTCTTATCTGACCCGTGTCTCTTTCAATCTGACCAGTGTACTCTTATCGTGACCGTGTGTACTATGTCATCACTGACCGTGTGTTCTAGTACCCATCACGTAAGGGGCAGCACCTATCGAAGACGGGCTTAGAAGGAGCGGACGGAGTAAAGGTGATTGAGTGGGCTGTCCAGAGGCCCAGGTTACCGCTGAGACCTGGACGGTTATCAGAACCACAAGATACTGCGTGATATGGAGGGACGGTCACTACGACACAGGAGACCACACCGGGGTACCACAGTAACACCACAGCGACAGTAAGCAGCACACATCAAACGGCGCACACGCAGAAAGTGAACGACCAGAGCACAACGTGGGAAAACAAAAACACGGGAGGGAGCACTCACGAACACAAAGAACCAACAGGGGGAATAACACACACAACACCACAAGGAACAACACAGCGCACGAGTACACACACAACAGAGAAAAGCAAGAGGAAAACAGAACAAAGCAAAGAGGAAAAAAGACAGAGGAAGAAGAAGCGAGAAAAGACAGAAAGCAAGAGAAAAGAAGAGGAGGCAAAAGAAGGGAGCGCCAAGAAGAGAGGAGAGGAAAAGCACAGAGAGGGAGGACGAAAAGAAGAGAGAGAGAAGAGAGAGGAAAAGAACGAGAGAGAGCAGAAGAAAAGAAAGGAGAGCAGAGCAAGAGAGAAATACATTAAAAGAGGCAGAGAGAGAAAGAAGGGAGGTAGAGAGACGAAATAGAAGAGAGAGAAAGGATAAAGAAGAGGAGAGGAAAAGAGAATAGCTTCCCTCCTCTCTTTCTCTCTCTCCCCTCCTCTCTTTCTCTCTCTCCCCTCCTCTCTTGCTCTCTCCTCCTCTCTCCCCTCTCTCTCGCTCTCCCCTCTAGGAGTACTACAGGCTCCAGGAAGACCCAGGGGAGTGTGGAGGTGTCGAGGCCCAGCTCGGTGGAGCGTCCTGGGGCAGTGCACCCCTGGGTGAGCGCCCAGCTGCGGAACAACGTGCAGCCCTCCCACCCCTTCATCCAGGACCCCACCATGCCCCCCAACCCTGCACCCAACCCCCTCACCCAACTAGAGGAGGCCCGGAGGAGACTGGAGGAGGAGAGGAGGAGGTCCGCCCTGCTGCAGGCTAAGCAGAGGTGAGAGGAGGAAGGGTTAAGGTTGGAACTAGGGGTTAGTGTTGAGATCAGGATCAGGGGTTAAGGTTGGAACTAGGGGTTAGTGTTGAGATCAGGATCAGGGGTTAAGGTTGGAACTAGGGGTTAGTGTTGAGATCAGGATCAGGGGTTAAGGTTGGAACTAGGGGTTAGTGTTGAGATTAGGATCAGGGGTTAAGGTTGGAACTAGGGGTTAGTGTTGAGATTAGGATCAGGGGTTAAGGTTGGAACTAGGGGTTAGTGTTGAGATTAGGATCAGGGGTTAAGGTTGGAACTAGGGGTTAGTGTTGAGATTAGGATCAGGGGTTAAGGTTGGAACTAGGGGTTAGTGTTGAGATTAGGATCAGGGGTTAAGGTTGGAACTAGGGGTTAGTGTTGAGATTAGGATCAGGGGTTAAGGTTGGAACTAGGGGTTAGTGTTGAGATTAGGATCAGGGGTTAAGGTTGGAACTAGGGGTTAGTGTTGAGATTAGGATCAGGGGTTCAGGTTGGAACTAGGGGTTAGTGTTGAGATTAGGATCAGGGGTTAAGGTTGGAAATAGGGGTTAGTGTTGAGATTAGGATCAGGGGTTCTAGCAGGAGGCTGGAGAGGAGGAGGGGTTAAGGTTGGGATTAAGATTGTGACGGAACATTTTATGTTGGTGCTTTTCTAATAACCAATTTCTGTGTTCCTGCAAGTGATTTAACAACTCCTCACTATCAGTATCTGCAATTTGGCAGTACGCCCAGACTCTTGTTTTGAGAACGAAAGATATCTCAGTTTCAAGGTCTCAGTTTAGGGAGAAGAAGCCTTGTGAGGTATTGGTCTGTCACATGCATGACCCAGTATTGGTCGGTCACATTAATGAAGCAAACGTTAATGATGAATTACTTATGAATGATGAATAAGCTAAATCATGCAAATATAACTTGTCTGTATATAAGAGAACTAACGGGACTGCCCCGGCGGAGCTCCTGATCGACATGTGTACTTGGTGCATTGAGTTGGTAGGAACCTCTCCAGCACGCTGATAATAAAGAATGATTCATTTACATTTACATTTTAGTCATTTAGCAGACGCTCTTATCCAGAGCGACTTACAGGTAGTGAGTGCATACATTTTTCATAAGCTTGACTTCGAGTGTCCCTGTGTAGAATATCCACGACAAGATGTAAGGTTATTGG